AGAGATGAGTCCACTGTCAGAGGCCATAAGAAGATCATTTGTAACCTTCACTAAAGCTGTTTCTGTGCTGTGATGAACTCTGAAACCTGACTGAAACTCATGAACAAAATAAAGATAAAAGAATCTAAAAAGTCTAATTTTCTGAAGCTGAGAGCTGATAAGACAGAGGTTCTAGTTTCGTCCTGATCTAGAATAATCTAGGCCTTTGTCCTCAACTGTTCCTGTTAGTGGACCTAATCTAAGACTTCGTGTTGATCAGTCCTTGTCCTTCGACATCCAGAGTTCTCCAAACAGCCCGTTCTCACTCCCGAGGCGTAACATGCCGACGTTTTGTCACGTGATTATTACCTCTTTATTGTCAAAGTATCACCTCATTCTTACTCAAACTGAGTAAAAGTGAGGTAAACCACCCGACTTCCTGTGTTTAGCTACAGTTGCCTGCACAAAAACATTGAAAAGCCAATCAGAAGCTGAATTTTTGTAAACACGGACATAAACAGGTGTGCCACTGTGTTCAGGTGCGAGTCTTCACCTACCTGATTGGCAGAGAGATGACCTTTGCTCAAAACACCAAGTGGATCGCCTGCAACAACAAAGGTCGGTCCTGTGTGTGATACTTTCCTGCTTTTTCTTCATGCAGACACTAATATGCTCACGTGTGTTTTTTCCAGGTTATTACACGCACATCTCCACACTGGCAGATGTGCAGGAGAACGTCATGGAGTACCTGCACGTGCTCAGTCGGCCAATGGTCATCAACCATGACCACGACATCATCTGGACAGAAGCCTACATGGACACTGTGGTGAGCCTGCCTGGCCAATCAAAGGGCTTAAAGAAGCCATTAAACATATTTACAGTATACACTAGCCATTCTGTTTAAATCTGTTGTGAAGGGCTCATTTAAATCAGAACAATGTCATTATTGTCATGTGTGTTTTTTCTCCTCGTCTCCATGAACCCATTATCCCATGATCCTCTGGGCCTTCATCTCCATCACCCCAACAGCTTCCAAACACAGAGGAGGTAAAAAAGAAGTTGCAGTTTTAGATTAATAGTTAGTTCTTCATCTGTTGGACTTGTGTGAAGCTCCTACAGATTCTACCATCAGTAGATAACATGGAGTTTAATTTTGGCAGCTTAAAAGCAGAATTAGGCTACGTTCACACTGCAGGTCTT